AGTTGTGCTGGGCTGAGGCACAGCCACCCTGTGCTTTCAGAAAGATATGCAGATGTCGTGGTTTCGGTTGCCTCTACAAGCTCTAATAGAGCACGAGCTCTGGCAGCCTTGTGGTTGGGGAAGCATCAGTATCACTCTGTGGTTTCTTAGATCTCTATCTGGACCTGTCAGATATTTTGTCATAGACAGTAACAGTTCCTTCCTCTGCCAGCAGATTTGGGCATATCAAAACATTGTATGTCCCATAGCAGGACAGTCTCCATCTGTGATGGCAGAAGAAGGGGAGATGAGTGACTGCCACCCCACCAAGTGCAAAAAGGAAGCAATGCAGCCCAGGAGCTGCATGTTGGAGTGCAGGAGTGTGTGGGGCCATGTGGTGAGGCAGGTGGTGGGGATGTAAAAACTTACTTTCTACAGGCACTGCTCCTTTGAAAGAGAAGACCCAGCCCCAGGATCAGTCTTGGGTCAGCAGGGACAGGTCAAGGCTCAGTACAAAATGCACTTGCTATTGTAGGGAAGAGACGAGGCTGAGACACATTGCCTTGCTTTGCACCCCTACATGGATGGGTGGCATGAGTAATACACACATAAATTAGCCAGAACAACAGGCTGATTACAATACTGGAATAAATGCAATATGGGAGTAGCAATAAATAATCCCTCTCCCCACCTCTGAGAGTGGGATGTCCCTTCGCAAATTCCAGCTGAGCTTTTCTCGCTTGCAAAGCCTGAGTACCTGCTAGCATGTTGCTGTTCTGCCCCAAAACGACACCACCACATGTTTGTGACAACCCCACGGTGTCAGTCACTTAGTTCAACTCCAGGTCCTTCCTGTGCTTTTGAAGGCAGGAGTCCTCAGGGTCCCCAGGACACCACCAGCCCCGTGAGAATGGCTCCTGGGAGGATGAATTGGGAAAGCCATGGACTCTTGTGCAGGGTCCCTGGCACAGCCCATGGGGACCCTCCTGCAACACTGGTCCCCACCCGTGGGGATGTTGCAGTGAAGGGGACACTGTGGGGAGGCAGCCCCAATACAGCCAGACACAAGGTCTCTGAGGGCCCCACGCAGACCCACATGGCATGGTGGGGGAGAAGAAGAGTGGGAGCTGCATTACTGGGGCTGCAGGGCAGCAAGGAAATCCCAGGGGATGAGCTCATGGTGCCTCGTGAACAGCAGTTGTCACTGGGAGCTGGGGGTGAAAATACCCAGAGAAACCACAGGCTGTGAGCTGGCAAATTTGGTGCCTGTTGCAGAGAAGAGGGAGGTAGAAAAAGGGGAAATGCTCCCTGGGGCATCCCAGGGAGCCCATCACCTCACGGCAAAGGCAGTGCTGGGGGGCTCTGGGTGGACCACGTCATGAGCCCTGTGACTGTGAGTGTGTAGAAGGGGATGGTGGTATACGTTTGCATGAGAGCTGGTCCCTCTCCACTTCCTGGGTGGGGGAACCTCCTGCTCTGCCTTCTGCATCCCACCTTATACCAAACCCATGCTGGCACTTGTGTTTGCCCTGTGTCTGTGGGAGAAGATGGTATTTGCAGAGTGAGACCACCGAGTTGGGCTTCCCAGGCAAGCACTCCCCTTACTGGCTGATGCTGGGGTGCGTTAGGAAGGGTTTGGCAGTCCTGAGCTCCATACTGGAAGCACAGCATTGAGGCTTTTGTGTTTTATGGTGCCAAGACCGCCAGCCCAGATCTACAACCAGTCTCCAGGGTGCCAGCCATCCTTGCTGCCTGCACAGGCAGCAGAGCTCAGAGCGTGCCTGCTGCCCATGCTGCCCGCACTGCCTCCCTGCATCCACCATGGGAGCAAGGACCCCCCAACTGGACCTGTACTGTCCCCAAGCTGTTTTGAGGGTCTGAACACCTTTTTCCTCAAGGCCTTGAAAAGTCTCCTTGAAAAGGAGACTGAGCTGAGGCCCTCCTAGTCCTTCAGGGAGGATGCTGAGATGAGTTTGATGAGTCCTACTGTCTTGTTGGTGAATGCAAGTGTGAACCTGCTGCTCAAGGGTGGTTTCATATCCTGTCTTGGTCAGTATAGCCTTCATGTGGGTGCTGAATTGCCCAGACTTACCTCACACAAAGGCTATTCTGGTAGACCTGCTGCTTCCTTTTTTTCAGCATTTCTGAAGCAAAGGTGCCATGACATCAGCTTTGTTATGCTTTGGAAACTCCAAGCATTTGTCTTGAAATCTGACTGAGGAGGCTGGCCACCGTTCCTATAAAAAGCAAGGACTGAGCCAGCACCTTGCACCAGACACAGGAGGAATCTGCTCTGGTCGTGCCTCTGCCCTTGCAGCTCATTTCTGTCCATAATGAATGTCTCCGCAGTGTGCCTCTCCATCACCCTCATTGCTGCCCTCTTTTCTCAGGCCTCTCCTGCTCCAAGTGAGTGCAGCATCTCTCTCTGCTCTCTTGGGGTGGACTTTTGCTCTGACTGGCAGTAATTTTGAAGCAGAACTGGAAAAAGTTAGCTGCAAAGGTTGGAACCTGTGTGAACAGCTTCTCCTGCTTTCTTGGGACTGGTCTTCCTTCCCAGCATCCTTTTATCTTAGGGATGAGTTTCACTGATAAGTATCAAAATTTTCAGGTTTCATCTCCCCTGATTTTGTTGCTGGTCCCAGGGTGACTGAAGGGATTTTTATCATTGGAAGTGAGTGCAAAACATTTAACAAGCAATACTAGCAATGACTTTAATTAAGCTTTGGTGTTCACAGCAATTTCTTGCTGACTTTCTGGGGAAACAGGAAGAGAAGAGGGCTCCACAGCTGATTA